AGTATGTAGTGACCTTCTTTGTCCTTTATGGTCATTGTTGGTTTAAAGTTCACGTTGTCTGCAAACAGAATGGCTACTCCTGCCTTTTTTTGGATTCCTGCTGCATGAAGAATTGTTTTCCATCCTTTGACTTTCAGTCTGTGAGTATCTTTCTGGGTTAGATGGGTTTCCTGTAAACAGCATATGGTTGGATTTTGTTTCTTGATCCATTCTGCTAGTCTGTTTCTTTTGATTGGTGCATTGAGACCATTTACATTAATGGTTATTACTGTTAAATGCTGGTTAATTGTAGGAATGTTATCTCTCTGCTGTTGCATCTTTATCTTTCGGTTCTGTTTAATTATTTGCTTTGCTTAGTGGTTTTTTCCTTTGTGTATCTAAACTGTCTTTCAATATTTTTTGCAGGGTCGGTTTGGTGTTCATGAAGTTCTTCAGCTGTTCTTTGTCATGGAAGTATCGTATTGCACCATCTATTTTGAATGATAGTTTTGCAGGATATATCAGTCTTGGTTGGAAATCATTTTGCTTTACGATCTGGAATACTTCACTCCATGCTCTTCTTGACTTTATCGTTTGTGCTGAGAAGTCTGCTGTGATTCTGATAGGTTTTCCTTTATAAGTGATTTGTCTTTTCTCTCTGACAGCTTTTAATAATCTATTCTTGTGTTGGATTTCTGGGATGGTGACTATTATATGTCTGGGTGTAGTTTTATTTTGGTTATGACTGTTTGGAGTTCTATATGCTTCACTGATCCTGATGTCAGTTTCTGATCTCATGCTTGGGAAATTTTCAGCTATTACTTCTCTAAATATCCTCCTGACATCCTTCATGTTGTCTCCCTCTCTTTCATTAATCCCTATCATTCTTATGTTATTCTTCTTTGCATCGTCTTGCAGTTGTTGAATTGTTGTTTCCTGGTTCCTTGTTATTTTCAAAAGATCTTTCCTTTCCTGTTCACTAGCTGCAATCCTGTCTTCAAGGTCTGAAATTCTATCTTCACTTTCATTAAGGCGGTTTTTACAACTTTCAGTGGAGTTTTTTATTTCCTGTATATCTCTGTGCATCTGCATTATGTATTCTGTTTGTTTCTTATATTGCTCGTCTAGGGATTCTATCTTTTTGTTTAGTTCCTCCAATTTTTTATCTGTGTTTTCTTTAGATATATTTAGAATCTCTTTCATTTCTTTTATCATTTCTTCTTTTATCTGGGAGATTATTTCGAGTTTGAATTTCTTTAAAGCTTCCTGGAGTTGCTTGTCAATTTCAGTGGCTATTGTGTCCGATATATGAGGTGGATGGGATATATTTTCTTCTATATACATCGCTCCTAGGGTTTCTTGAGATGGGCTGGAGGTTTGAGGTTGTAATTTGGTCTTTCGTTTTGTCATTTTCCTATATTTCTGTGTTTCAAGTGTTACTTGAAAGCTTCCTCAGGATCTGTTGAAAATCCCCTTCTATGTTTGGAGCTACTGGGACTCTGGCACCGCGCTACTCCAAGCCATTAGGCCTACAGAACCAGTGGCCCTCCTCTGCCTGCTCAGAACTCCGCAGTTCCAGACAAGCTGGGCCTCAGGGACACTGTGCGCCCACCTGCCCCTTGGAAGCTCCACAGTTCTTCAATCACAGCCGGGTTAGGGTACTCACCACAGGCCGCAGTGCTTCAGGAACCTGTGGACCCTCCCTGGTTGCAGAGATATCCACAGTCCTCCAGACACGCAGAGAGGCCAGTGAGGGCACCCCAGATCTGCCCAGCTCCTCCTCTGCAGACCTGTGGCCAGGCGCGGCAGCTAAACAGGCTGGGCTAGGCTGGTAGTGTGGGCCAGCCCACCTATTGGGAGCTCAGCAGGTCTCCAAATGAAGTCGGGAATGGGGAGGCTGATGTGGAAGCCTTAAACCCACCTCTCTCCTTCACTGCACCTGGAAGCCTGAGGGAACTCCAGCAGTCTGGGCGCAGAAATCCAGAGTCCTCCAGACACGCAGAGAGGCCAGTGAGGGCACCCCAGATCTGCCCAGCTCCTCCTCTGCAGACCTGTGTCAAGATGAAACATTTGTGTGTCCGAGTTACAAGCAGTTGTTCTCATGAAAGCCCATTTGTATTAGGAAGGACAACTTACTACCAGACAAGACCACACTTACAGTGTTTGGCAGGCATTTTCTTGATAATGCCAGAAGTGGAACCTGCTACTTTAAGGGAAACATTTTATGATGCTTTTTGCAAGTGGTAAAGCTTAAGATTTCTTGGGAAAATCAGATTTTTCAAAAACTTGTGTGCAACACCATGTACTTGACAGCCTCCCAGTATTTAAAACACTTCTGATGAAAGTGGACCTAATAACTAATATGATTTTGGTTTTGCTATTGTACAGGGATAAAGGTCTCATTAAAAGTATAAAGGAGACTAACAGATTTTAGTGTAACAGAGCACAAAAAGTTCATTGATAGGATTTCAGACTTCACACTGCATGTTGCCTTTAAGAAGCCAGCACTAGTTGAGTTGTGGTACTCTGTTGAATAATATCTGGGGTTAACTGAAAGAGCTATTAAAGTACCTAGTTCTTTTCTAGCTATGTGTCTTTGGGGGGCTAAATTTTCTTCATACACTTCCAACAAAAGCAGCATACTGCAACCGAATGAATACAAGTATAAATATTACAATCTAGATGCCCTCTATGAAACCAGACATCTAAAACTGCAAAACTACAGAAATTGTTATGCTCATTAAATTTATGTAATTTGGGGATAGTTTTTTCAAATAACTATGTTGTTATGTTAATATGTAATGTGTTTACTATTATTTTAGATAGCCATTTTAATATCTGATAAATCCACATAGTAGCAACAAAGCTCTTTAGAGTCCTCAGTACTGTTAAGAGTTGTAAAGGGATAGAATTTTCAAACCTAAAAAAAATAAAAATTTTAAAAATTGATTTACTGCTTTACAGGAAACCTTTTTCATGTTCAGTATCTTATATTCAGAACCATCTTCTGCGGTACAAATGGTTACCCAGTACTTCGGGCTTTGTTGTTTGTTGATTTTTGAGACAGAGTCTCACTGTGTAACCCAGGCTGACTTTAAACTCACAGCTGTAAAATGGCAATTTTCGAAGGGCCTGCTTCAGAAGGTGGCTGTGAGGCTGAAGTGAGATAGCACACAAAGAACACCACCGATTACCTGTCATCCCGGAAACGCTCGATTAAATTAGCTGATGGTGATGGTGCTCGTGTATCCTAAGGTCACATTTACTGAGGTTTGCTTTACACGCAGTAAAATTTACTTATTTTAGTGTAAATGAGTCTTGATAGATCCTTACACATGAGTAACTGCCACCTAAAGGTACGGATACAGTGCAGTCCTGTCACTGCAGAGATTGCCCCATGCCCCTTTGCAGTCAGCTCTTCCCTCCATGAAAAACTGCTGGTAACTGCAATGATCCGTTTTCAGCGTCTGATTGTTTTGCCTTTTCCAGAGTGTGAAATAAGTGGAGCTGCCGCACTGATTTCCATAGTGGCTCTACTCATTAGAGAGCTTTTTTCCTGATGTAAGTGTTGGATGTTAGACTTTCTCTTTAGTACTGCTTTAGCAGCGAATCACAGTTTTTGTTATGTTTTCACTTTCATTCGGTCCAAAATACTTTCTTTCTTTATGACTTTTTCTTTTGCCTGAGTTAATTAGAAGTGTGATGTTTAAAGTATTTTGAGAAATTTTGAGGTATGTCTTGTTGATTGCTAGTTTAATTTCATCGTGCTTAGAGGTTATTTTTATGATTTCGGTGCTTTTTAAATTTGGTTAGCCTTGTTTTATGGCCCCAAATTCAGTCTGTCTTGGTGAATTTTCCATGTGCACTTATGAATTTGTACTCTGTTTCAGAGAAATTCTTCCTCAGTGTTACTTGGTTCAAGCTGCTTGATAGTGTTGTTATAATCCTTTATATCTTAAGTTATTTTTATTTATATGTTATATCAGTTACTGAGAGTATCAATATCTTTTTTTTAAGATGGAGTCTTGCTATGTAGTTCAGGCTGACCTTAAACTCACTATGTTGCCCAGACTTGCCTCAAACTCAGCGATCCTCCTGACTCGGCCTCCAGAGTGCTGAGATTACAGATGTACACCACCTCATTGGCTTTTGACTTTTTACTTTGAGACAAGGGCTTGCTAAGTTGCCAAGGCTGTCCTGGAATTTGCAGTCTTCCTGCCTCAGCCTCCCAAGTAGCTGGGATTATAGGGATGTGCTATTATACCCACGTTTGTCCAGTGCCTTTCCTAAGGTGGTAAGGTAAATCCTGGTCTGGTTATTATGTCAAGGCTGGAAGCAGAAGCCCTCGGCAGTATAATTTCTAACTAATATTTCTAGGGCAGCCTCTACAGTACTTTTCTCGTTATGTGAGATATGAGCATAAGGACATATGCATACTAATTCAGCCATAGAAAGTATGGTACACATACTAAAATGTGAATGCCGAATGAGTAAGGAGAATGGCTGCTGCTTTGCAAATAGAATCCAGTGATCCATTAGTGACACACATATCCCTATCCTGAACATGGCAGCCTTTCCCGCCCTCCATGTCTTGCTCCTTCTCCCTAGAATGCTTCCTCATCACATCTCCTTTCCTTCCCTGTCTTCCAGACAAATATCCTCTGGAGCCAGCTGCATTGTGACCACCTCTCCACTCCCCAAAGTGCAGACAACCCGCATTTCGTCCTCCTATCGCACCCTGCCCAAAGCAACAGTTCAGCCAGGCTCCCGTGGGATTCTAATTGTCTGCTTCTCTGTAGATCCTCTCCTCAGGAAGCTCTTGAAAGCAGGAAACTTGTTTTATTTCCCTTTACGGTTCTCTCATTCCTAGCACAGTATGTCTACCATGTGGAACTTTTCAATAAGCAGCTGGTGAATCAGTGACTGTTTATGTGCTGACAAACATTGCTGTTATTCCTCCGCATTTCCAAGTCACTGTTGGTACAAGTGAATCTTCCCTAATCATTTTACTTTTCTCCTAGTAAATTCCTCATCTATGCCTGTCTGTTGCTGTTCTCTGTGCTGCTGGCCCTTCGTCTGGATGGCATCATTCAGTGGAGTTACTGGGCTGTCTTTGCTCCCATATGGCTGTGGAAGTTAATGGTCATTGTCGGAGCCTCTGTTGGAACTGGAGTCTGGGCACGAAATCCTCAATATCGGTAATACTGCTTTATATAACCTGCTCTGTCCTGAGAGCAATGTCTGCTTTATGTCACTCATGATACAATAAGGACCATTTCTTTTTGAAATGAGGTTGTATAAGAACTGTTTGGGCTTTTATAGAACTGTAGTGTAGAGAAACTGAGCTCTCAACAGAGTTTTTAAAAGGGAGATGTTTGATACATGTTTTCCTGCAAAAGCAGTGTGGTTTGGGTGCTTAAGTACCCAGCCAGCCCACAAATCCATACATAATCCCAAACATGGGACTATTGGGCATGAAACTGCATGTGCTTGGGAGAGATTCAAGCCTTGGTTGTCACATATCTTTTTCCAGTTTACTTTTGGAATGTGGCCCCACTCATCCTAAACTCCCCAGTCCTGGGCTTTAGGACTGTTGTAGTATCAGGGGAATAGCTTGGCCAGAACACCAGGAGCCCCTCAGATGGGTTTCACAGTGAAGCAACCTGACAGCCAGATGCGGAAGGGGTAGCTGGGGGAAGGGTGCATGTAGCCTGGCATTGCTGACCTCTGTGTGAGCTTTTCTCTTTTCTGTCACAAAGACTATGTTGTCCCTTGTGTCTAGATGTCCCCCAAAGCCTCATGTACTCACAGGTGAGGCTTTTCAGAGCTGGCTGGATCTAGGGTGTGTGGTACTGGGGTTAAGGGTGTGAGGTACTAAATTAGTCTGTTGATTGGAATTAGCATAGTATTGGGTGTGGCTGAATGCATTTCCTGAAGAGAGAAGCCCCACCCTAGGTGTGGGAAATGCCATGTAACCTGGATGGAATAAAAGGGAAAGGGAGGCTCGTGGCTTGCTGCCTTCTGCTTGCCTTGCCATGAGCTATTTCCTCTGTGATGCCCTTCTGCCATGCCACCCTGTCTTGGAACCAGCTGACTGTAGGCTGAAAACTCCACAAACTGTAAGCCAAATCAACTTTCCTTCCTTTAACTTTGGATGTTGGGTATTTTGTCTCAGCAACATGAAAAATAAACCAGACTGGGACTGTATCGAAGAAATGTGGTGGGGGGTAGCTAGAGAATGGAGCTATTCTAAACCTTCACCAGGAAGTGGGGAGACCCAAGGGAGGTAATGTAGTTCCTCATTGGAGCAGACTGTAGAAGTTGAGGCAATGCAGTTCTTTAAAAATTCTTTAAGAAGAAATCAAGAGTTAGATAATTTAGAAAATGTATCACATGTGTATCTGGGAATTTTTACATAGTTACACAGAGAGCCTTGGCAGATAAGGGCCATTCGTGTGTAGCTATTTTAAAGTTCTTAGATTTTTTTTGAAAAATTACCATTGTGGCTATATAGCTTCTCCTTTATATTGTCAGGTATCCAATGTGTGTTCCTCAAAGAATGAAAAGTTAACTAACAGTTTTTATTATTTGATATTTAGAAGTTTTCTCTGTTTGCTTAAGATTTTTCAAGCAGAGAAAGACATGTACATATGTTTTTAAATGTTCAAAATGTATAACTGTGCTCCACCTAGAGCTAACATTAGGCCGTGGGACTTAGGGAATAACTTCTAACTTCATTTTCTCTGGCCCAACCTCAGATATATATCAGAAATGTCATCCACACAGTATTTTGAATAAACATTTGTAGAATTTTCAAATTATAAGATGTTGTCCTGACTTCTGGTTTTATAAATTTTGAACAGTTAATCTACCAAATTCATGCATGACACTTAAATAGCTCATTGAAATGATTCTGAGAACAGTGTTAATTATTTTCCTCTTTGTTGTTCATCTGCTGGTTTTAACTCATCTTATAGGAGCAGACAGGAAAATAAAAAGATATTGATAATTTCATCTGCAGTATAGAAATTAACCTAACAAGTAGTTGGCATATCTTATTGAACCTAACCTATATTTGTTCATAAACCTAGAGTTATTCTTGTGATATTGTATGAAATACATTTTATATTTTGGTACTGGAGATTGAAGCCAGGGCCTTTACACTGAGCTAGATCCCCTGGCCTTTTATTTTACTTGTAATTTTTGGGATCAGGTCTCACTTAAATTGACCAGATTTGACTAAAACTTATAATCTTCCTTCCTCATCCTCCTAGAGTGCTAGGGTTATAAGCGTGCACCACCATGATTAGGTGAAACAAGTGAGAGATGAGGTTTATGAGATATAAAAGGTATTTGTCATTTTAAGAATTTTTTTCAGTTTTTAAAAAAAGAAGCAATGTGAATAATCTGGGAAAGTGCCTCTTATTGAATTAAAGTTATGAGCAAAAATATTTATGTACATGTTCTGGGAAATAATACCTGTTAAACCGTTAAAACATTAAATTTGATTTGGTTATAATGCTTATCTCTTATCTCTAATACTTTGAAGATTGCCTGTTAAAAATTAGGTTTCTTTTTTGTCAATTTTACATGTCAAATTCAAAGCTTCAACCTACGTTGCTACTGTTTACAGTGAACTGCTTGCTTTTTTAATAGGACTCTGAACTGAGGGTCTTTTCTTTTTCTATCCCTCTATAGAGCGGAAGGAGAGACATGTGTGGAGTTCAAGGCCATGCTAATTGCCGTGGGCATCCACCTGCTCTTGTTGATGTTTGAAGTTCTGGTGTGTGACAGGATCGAAAGAGGAAGCCACTTCTGGCTTCTGGTCTTCATGCCGCTGTTCTTTGTTTCCCCGGTGTCTGTCGCAGCCTGTGTCTGGGGCTTTCGACATGACAGGTCACTAGAGGTGAGATTATGTATATTTAAGAATATTTTCAAAACAGTTCTAAAGTCAGTGTCTTGCAATGATTGTTAGGAAGACATTGTTAGCACTAGAGAGAAAAATAAGGGAAACAGTCCTTTCTCTTTCTTGACTCAGAAAAGTGGCTTTCCCCCAGGCCATCCGCCTTCCTGGGGATGGAGAGTTTAAGAAGGAGCCAGCCAGGTGGCTTATGGTCTGTATCCCAGCTACTAGGGAGGCTGAGACAGTAGAATTGTGATCTTGAGGCCAATATGAGTAACTCATCAAGAACCCATTTCCAAAAAACTAAATAAATAAAAATGAACAGGAACATCCCTCAGTGGTAGAGTGGTTGTCTACCAAGTGCAAGGTCTTGAGGTCCATGTCCAGTGCATGTGCACACACACACACACACACACACATACACACACACAGAGAGAGAGAGAGAGAGAGAGAGAGAGAGAGAGAGAGAGAGAGAGAAAAGAGTGGTAGAAGAAGATACTGCTGGAAGGGACACAGGAGCCAGCAGGTGAGCCTGGGACACAGACATAGATTTGAAAGGCAGTACTCAAAGAGAGTCATCGATAGAGCAGGGCCCTTGTGGGACCCAGAAGTAGCTAAACCCGGAGCAGCAGGAGGGACTCGGCTGGGGGCACTGCTCTGGCCTGGCTAGCAAGCCATGGCACTGGCACTTCTGACGGGCCGGCGGCTTCCTCTCCCTGGCTGCTTTCACTCTGCCTGCCACAGCAGCCCAGCAGCCCAGCAACCCCTCTTTCCGTTCTACTTGCCTCTCATTGTGCAGCAGCTGCTAAAGAAAGTCACATGACTTGAGGACTTGACCACCATGATTTATGGGTCTTCAGCTTCAACCAGACTATGACAGTGGGGCCATAATGCCTGGGTCCCCAAGGGGTGAACATTGGTTTAGGGGTTAGAGCAGGGGAATTCTTACTTGTTTTACAAATAAAGCACTGTCACATACGTAGTATCTGTGCTGTTAAACTTTCACAAGGGGTGCAATTAGAAAGCAAATGTCTGTCAAGGCTTCTTGGGGAGCAGTAATGGAAGCGAGGTTGAGCGGCACCATGCTGATCCTCCAGGTGCACATGCAACCGTTGTGATCTGTCTGTGCATATGACCCCACGGGCCCCAGGCCATTGGCAGTCTTAAAGACCTGTCTGCCGTTCCCCCTTGCTCTTTGCAGACTCTGCCCCTGGGCGTTTGCTCTGGAACTCACCCCACTTGGTGCAGCAGCTTTGCCATCCCTCCTCTGAAAGAGCAAAGCAGGCGGCAGCAGCTGCAAGCCCCTCTCCAGCCTTTGCTCTGCTCTTGTGCTTTCTCCTTTCTCCTCCCATTCACAGAACAGCTCCTCAAAGCGGGCTGTTCTGTCCCCACAGCCTCGTCCCTTCCCACTGGTGTCTGCCCAGCTCTGTGCCCCTGCGGACCTAACATGAGTGCCCCAGACCAAGTCCAGTGGGCCCTCTGCAACCTTCATCTTTTTGGACAAGCGAGCACCCTGTAGCACCGGACAGGGTTGAATGTTTCTTTGCGTGACTGGCATCATCCTCACTTCTGATCCCTGGCCCTCTGCCCCTTCCATCTTCAGCTTGTGGGCCGAGTTCCTCCCCCCCTTCTCCTACAAGTAGCTGTAAGCTCTTAGCATTCTGATTTTGGGGCCACCTCTCCTCACTGTTTTTACTTGCTTGGAGTGTCCTCACTGACACTCCTGCTTCCGCTGCCCTGCCTGTGTTGCTGCCTCTGAAATTCCTACTCCTGCCTCACATTTCTTTCCTGCCCAGACTCCAGCTTCACCGCACTGCAGTCTGCCCTCCCTCTTGGCTACAGCCACCGTTCTACCTGGTCTCCTATTCCTTTCTACTCTGCACTCTGTTGCTTCATGTGTTATTCCTTTACCTGAGCAAATGGCATAAAGCCAAGCTTTTAAAAAGTGATGACAAAAGCTTGCATTAAACAAAAATCCTGAAAATCCAAGCATTCTAAGAGGCCGCACTTGTTCCAATGTTTCTCAGTTGAGGAGGGAGGTATGTCCTTGGCATTACAGATGAGTAGGTGTCCCATCCTTTGCAAGATGTGTGTTCCTGACTCCTGTGCCTTAATGACTCATGGTGGTGCTGTCCTCCAGATCTCTCTAATGTCCACCAGTGCTCCTGCATGTTTCTTGTTTGCTCTTGTCCCCAGGAGCAGCATTGCCAGGTTGAGGAGTATGCATAGTTATCTAAAAGCTTTTAAATGGGAGTGAAAAACCCCTGAGAATGTGGAATTTTGTTTTTTGGAAAGCAGAAGCATATACCAGGGCTCAAACTGCCAGGCAGGAGTTGCAGAAAGCGAGTGTTTCACACATTCATGCCCTTGGCCTTCCCATCCATGGGAAGAAACAGCACCCTGGAACTGCACTCGCTGTAGACATGGCTACCAAAGGAACCTATACAGCAGCAGGGGTGACCAGGGGTGGGTGCCCACAAAGTTGTAGAGGAGAACCCAGTACCTGCTGCTGGGCCCTGCATTGGGACAGAAGGAGGTGGTAAATTTCAGGTGCACCAAGGCATAGAGAGAGGAAACACCCATTAGCTGCGTGGACTCCAGGGACGCTCACCTGTGACGAGCAGAGGTGGGAGGGCCATGTGGGCTCAGAAAAGGGAATGTCCACATAGGAGTAGGGCTGAGTGTCCTGGGCACCCAGGTAACCTCACAGGGCACCAGAAATGGTGGACACTTGGAAGAAAACACTGGTATCTGACATCTGTGGGGGCACCATTCAAACTATTAGCTCTAGATACTTACAGTTTTATTGTTAGCTTATGCCACATTCCCTTTGATGACACCATATCTTTTAAGAAGCTGCACTTTCAGCAGTTGGTGCAGTTAAAGCCAGTACTGTGGGAAAATGCATGTGAAAAACAGCTCATGAGAATGGAAGTACCATATCTAATTCCAGGATTTGGGACATTGGGCACACTGTGGCATGTACATCTTACTAAGAATTAGTTACGGTTTTTAAAGAATGATACTTTTTTTGCAGTACTGGAGGTTGAACCCAGGACCTTCACACTGAGCTATGTCCCTGTTCCTTTTTGTTTCTTGTTGTTGTTGTTGTTGTTGTTGTTGTTGTTGTTGTTGTTATTTCTTATTTTGACACAGGGTTTAGCTAAGTCCCCCAGATGGGGCTTGAACTTGTGGTCTTTTTTCCTCAGCCTCCTAGAGGCCTTGGATTACAGGCATGCAACAACCATACCATGCTGAAATAATATTGTACTTTTGACTTAGTGATTCATATTTTCAGTTGACTCAGTATGGGAACACTAAGTTTAGACCTAATTACTTAATTCACTGGAACTATTAGCTATTTGTTTTGGCCCAGAGTTGTGTGGAGGAGTTACTGAATCACCAGATGGCTGCTGGACTAAGGACCTCTAGAGAGGTCACAGATTTTTGTTTGGTAGACAAAGACAAGGACCGTCACAGAACGAAGAGCTGCCTGGGAGCTCTAGGATCAGAGAGCCATCCAGGCAGGAAGCAGTGAAGCTAGTTGGGGGGGGGGGGCGGTGCGGGAGTAGCTGGCAGTGGTAGGAGATGGGAGCCTACCTAGCAGCTGCAATGGGGACAGAGCGTGCGTGGGGACGCGTGAGAAATTGTGACTGGCGAGGGCACAGGATGCAGAGACTGAGCAGGAGATCATGGGAGTGTGTACAGAGCGGCCTTCCTCTGTTCATGGCCTGGAAAATCAGGCTGCCACGGTGCCTTGCAGCAAAGGGAAGGGGGGCTGGGAATAATTGGGCTCGCCTGGGGACTGGCTTCACTCGGTGCCTCTGGGCCAGTCAGGTGGTGCCTGCACAGCCCAGCTGGTGTGCAGCAGAAACGCTGGCTTGGAAACAGATCTGAGAACCTGATGACGGGGCTGTGTGCTAGGCCAAGACGAGGCGGAGAGTGAGGGAGCGAGTGGAACGGTAATTGCAGCGCACTTGCCCCTAGTAGGGGGAGAAGACAGATTTCAGGGACTGCGGGGAGTATCACTATTTAAGGAGCCCAAGAAGGAATTAGAGTGCTCAGGGGCACCAAAACTGTGTGAGGGGATCCTTGAAGTCCAGAAATGGGGCCTACCATAGCACATGTTCCAGAGACACCCAGGAGGACACAAGTGTTCCACCACCGCCTGGCGTCGGGGACCTTGATGAAAGCAGTTTCCTAGTGGGGTAGTCATGCAGGTGGAAGCCACATCACTGCGGGAGGTCTGGAATGGAAGATAAGGCAATAGGGGCTCATGTTAGATGACAGTGGAAAAAGAGCTAAGGAGTCATGGGAAGGATGGGCTTATTTGGATTTGGGTTTTTGGCTCTTAGTGAGACATAGTTCACTTGTTTGTTGCCCAGCAAGATGAGTGGTGCAGGTGGGGTTAAAATGCAGCAGAGAATCTCAGATTGGGGGCTTGATGTGACAGAGTTTCAAGGAGCCAGAAAGGGGGTGGGAAGGTATGGGGCTGAGTCCTAGTGATGAGGAAAAGGAAGGAAAGTGTGCAGTGGTTACAAGCAAATGGTTTTTTGGTAGGGGCAGGAAGGAAGCTTACAAGGCATCCACTGCCACTCACCTCCTTTCGAAGAACCCCTGGAAATGGCCATCCATCACTGGGCCCGCAGCACTAGGGTTTCTGCCTCCAGAAAGGGCAGGGCAGCCACCAAGCAGAGGGATGAGACAGAAAGCAGCTGCCATTCCTCCTTAGCGGAGCCCTGCTAGCCTCTTCCGGGCCTGGAAATCAGTAATTTCCACAGTAATGTAATAACCGTTGGAGTGTATTGCGATTCGCATTCCTTTGAACACATTAACCAGATAACTGCAGTGCTGAATGCAACTTTGACTTTACTTAACTGATTCTTCTCTTCATTTTTAGTTAGAAATCCTGTGTTCTGTCAACATTCTCCAGTTTATATTCATTGCCTTGAGACTGGACAAGATCATCCACTGGCCCTGGCTTGTATGTAACTCAAATAAACTTTCTTTTATTATAAAAGTAATTCATGTACATTCTAAGAAACTTGGAAAGCACAGACAAGCATATGCAGCAGACTAATAAATCACCTATATTCCAATTCTGGGAAATACAGTTAAGTGTCTTTTACTATAAAAATACTTGAGATTCTACTACATGTAAAATGTTGTGTTCTTTTAAAATATTAACATGTAAATATTTACTATAAGTATAAATTTCTATAATATGACTCTTAAAATGTAATCAATGTAAAATATTCTTTAATTGAAATTATCAAGCCATACCCTTATTTCTGAATATTTCAGTTGTTGCCACTATTTTCAGTTTTCTTTTATTTTTGTTTTGTTTTGTTTTGTTTTTTTGAGACAGGATCTCGCTGTGTAGTGCATGCTGGCTTTGAACTCACTTATGTAGTACAAACTGGCCTGAAACCATGGTGATCTTCCTGCCTCAGCCTTCTGAGTGCTGGAATTACAGGCATATCCCACCACACCGGGCTACTCCCAATCTTAAAACATACTGCAATATATATTTAACAGTTTATGTTTTTAATTGACATACAGTAATTGTAAATATTTATGGGCTATGGCGTGACATTCCAATACAAGTTTTCAATATGTGGGGATCATGTCAGCATAAATGACATATCTGTTACTTTGGACATTTATGATTTGTTTGTGTTGAGAGCATTTAAAATCCTCTCTAATAGCTATTTTGAAAGGGTAAATTATTTGTTGTCAGCTATATGCTGTAAACATTAATGTTTCTTCCCATTAGATATGCAATGTATATTTTTATGCAAAACTGTCCTTGTGTGATTCTTCTATGTTCTCTTAGGAAAGACTCTGGAAACAATGTTACTGAACTAAAGTATGGGAAGTTTTTGAGATTTTTAAATATATATACTGTGTGGGGTTCACTTTTCAAACCTGTGCTAGTTTATGCCGTTGATACAGGATTATACTTCCTGTTTCTAAATTGTGGCTTCAACTAATAGACGTTTGTGTAAACTTGACTGTGAATGGAGAAGGGGAAGGAGGCAAGGATGCATAGAAAAGCAGTGAGCTGAAAATTACAATGCAGTATTATTTCAACTAGTGCATGCCGGGAAACGAAGATTGGGAAGATTGGGAAAAGAAGAGCTGAACCGCCTTTGGGCCATGTGGTCATGCTGGTGTTGCTCTTTCTATTTTCCCTGCTGCTTAATGTGTGCTTTTGCACACAAGACATTGTCTGCATTAAGTAGAGTTTGCTTCTTTAATGAATGAAATTTTTCTCTTGAGGGGAAGGGAGAAAATAAGCAGATTCCCAACTTAAAGTAGAGATGAGGTTTATCACTTATGCACAGAATGTTTAAGAAAGTACACTTAATCTGAAATATTGGTCAGGGGGCTGGGAATTTAGCTCAGGGGCATAAGCACATGGTTGTGAGTTTCATCCCCGGTACCAATAAAAAAAATAAAAAATTAAAAAAGAAATATTAGTCAGACACCCATCCTACATCTTCAGGATGCTGTATCTGGAGAATGGCAATAGGTTCAAAATGCCTTTGTTGTAACTTGGAAGAAACAGATCTGGCCAGGTCCAATCTTTATGATAAGTGCAATCAAGAAAAAAAAAGATTGGGAATTTCTACAGTGAGGAGAGTGATTCTTTTTTCCTCCTCAATCCTGTACAGCTCCCCAGTGAATCCCATCACAAATGCGCTTTAAAATGAGGCAGTCAGACAACACATAGACTTTTTAGCCAAACATACAATCACGAATTCCAGGCTAGTCAGGAGAATTAAAAATCATGTTCATATATCAAGTCAAACGAAACATCAGAAACTAAAACATCAAAATTGTAGAACTGTTAGGAGAAAACACAGGACAAAATTTTGGGGGCCCATAATTAAATGAAGAGTTCTTAGGAATGGCACCAATAATATGGCCCATACAAGAAAAAAATCATAAATTCACATGTCCTAAAATTAAAATCAAGTGAAAGAAAAGACACAAAGTAAGAGAAAATTATTAATAAAGTGTTTGCAAAACTTGGAAACATACATTGAAAACATACAAAGAATTGGTTTGATTTGGTTTTAGTTTGCAGAACTGGCGATTGAACCCAAGGGTCACCCTGTTGAGCTATATCTCCAGCCCTTTTTATTTATTTACTTATTTTATTTTGAGACAAAGTCTCCCTGAATTGCAGAGGCTGGGTTTGAACTTAATCCTTCTGCCTCAGCCTCTGAGAGAGCTGGAATTACAAGCATGTGCCACCATGCCTGGCCCAAGGAATTCTTAACATAAAATAAGAAAACAAATACCTAATTTAAAAATTGGCAGAAGACAGTTCACAAAGACATTCTACACATGTACAAGAAAAGATGCTCAACATTATTGCCCACCAGGGGAAGGCAAATAGAACTATGGTATGGTCCTGTTGTACCATTTTCAACTGGCAATTCTAAGAGTGAGAAGGACACAGAGAAATGTGGACACGCCTTCATTACTGCCAGGGAGGCAGAAGGGTAGGCAGTCTGGTAAAGAGTTTGGTGATGTTATGCAGCACAGCAGTCCTGCTCCTGGGTACCTAACCTAGATATGAAAATGTAGAGCCACACAAAAAGCCAGATACAAACTCCAGCCACCTCGACTTTGGTACCTAAATGCCAGAAACCGACTTTCGTGAGTAGTGCTCATCGTATGATGGAGGGCCATAGGCCCCACAAGGGAATAACCTGTGACCACGTGGAACAGTCACATGCACAGCAGACATCACAGAAGAGCGAGTCTCAGGTTACTGTCTGTATAGTGCCACCAGGGAAGCCTTCCTCTAAGGCCTGAAGGACAGAGACAGAACAGATCCATGGTTGTCAGGGTCATTCTTGACAGACAGGGACCGGGGAGAAAGTGCCGGGGGCTGGGCAGTAGGGAGAAAAGGAAACAAGGAGGCTGCAACTGTTGGCTCCAGGGGATTCCCCTGGGGTCTAGGGAGTGAGCTGAAGTCCCTCTGTGAGCACAGCCACACACTTGGCATGTGCCCATGCCAGGGCATGAGGGTGGCATCATAGGTAGAGGCTGCACGAGTGACTAAGAGTGACTGTGACGGGGTGACTGCAGAGAAAAGGACCCCAGGAAACCCCAGAGCCTGGCTTAGACACCAGCCTGGCTGGAAAGGAGAAGGGGCTAGTGACCAAGTGTGTCCCAGCAGCAGACCCCAGGCTGAACCTGCTGCGCATTTCCTCTCCCATGCTGTCCCTGGGGAGGCCCAGGCAGCAGCAGCTGGGCCAGCAGCACGCAGACATTTCCTCTCCGCTCTCCACTGCAGGTGGTGTGTGTCCCCCTGTGGATCCTCATGTCCTTCCTGTGCCTGGTGGTCCTCTATTATATCGTGTGGTCCGTCTTGTTCCTGCGCTCTATGGATGTGATCGCAGAGCAGCGGCGGACTCATATCACCATGGCACTGAGCTGGATGACCATTGTGGTTCCTCTGCTGACTTTTGAGGTGAGCTATGCACAAAACCTATTTAGCCCCCAGCTGAGCCATCTGTGACAGCATCCTGAATCCCTGGCCAGGCAGTGCAAGGACTCTACATATCTCAGGGAGCCCCCGAGGAGGTAGAGGAGAGCAGGAGCAGAACAGATCCTTTCTTTCCTCTGGGGGCTGCCTAGTGTGCTGGCCTGGAGCTCTGTGCTCTTCAGCCACACTGGCCATGTGGGCTGATTGTCGCCTTGCCAAGAGGGCCATCAACATGCTGGTCTTCTTTGGAGTTCTGTGGAGAATCCCAGAATGGACGCTGGATGCTTTAGAATGTGCATGAGGAGTTCCACATGAACCTCACCCGGTTCTCTCCCCTGTCCTATGGTGACTTGCCCTCTGAGATCTAATACAGAGAGCTACCTACAGAGACAGCGTCACACGCTGTCCATATGCAGAGGGTGCATCCATAGGACCCTTACTCTGTCTTTTTCCCCAGATTCTGCTGGTTCACAAGCTGGATGGCCACAATGCTTTTTCTTGTATTCCCATCTTTGTCCCGCTATGGCTCTCACTGATCACGCTGATGGCAACCACGTTTGGACAGAAGGGTGGAAACCACTGTAGGTATTCAGTGTCCCCAGTGTGGACTGGGGGTGTATGTGTGTGTGTGCCTCTACACTCTGGAAAGATGAGTCCCAGGGCCCAATCTAGAACTAGGGCTGAAGAAGGAGCGGGACCTTCCAAGGGCAGTGTGTTGTAACCCCACTTTCCTCTGGCCTGCACCTCATGTAGCTCTTTCCTCTGGCGTGCACTGCCATCAGAGCTTGGCCCAAACAGTGACAGGGCACTGCCTCTCTGGGCTCCTGTCCCTGACAGGGCTCCAATAACCTCCCTCCAGGGCTGATGAGGGCAGATGAAAATCCCACGCCTTCCACCAGAGGCTGCAAGGCAGATCTCTTTTGGTTGCTGTTTGCCCCACCCACTCCCCAGTGTGGGTCTTCCCTACCCTGAGTCTTGTCAGTTGTACCTGGCTGGATCCCTCAAAATCGCTACCTCCACGCACAAAGTTTAGAAATGAGCTCTGGGAAAGGCCCCTGCCTCATGGAGCTGTGAACTGTGCTGCGTGGAACCCAGAGGGGCAGCCCTTCTGGAAGCCAGGACAGTGTACCCCGACTCAGCCCAAGCTGATCTTCTGCTTCTGTTACCCCAGAAGAGCTAGCACAATGATGAGAGTCCCCTACACACATACACACACACACACACACACACACACACACACACACACACACACACACAGGCTACATCCTGTCCTGGTCCTGCTGGTGTGTACCTGTGCCTAGATTCTAGAGGGTAACAGAAACCCCTTGTTGAGCAAATGCTGTCTGCCACCCATGACTTCATCCTGGACCTGGGAAATTTGAGAAAAAGAGCTCAGCTGAGGTACCCCGGGATCACTAGAGGAGAGGGTCTCACCCCAGGCACCCATGGCAATCCCTGGAGGGCCAAGTAGCATGGTACTCTGTGCTCAACAGTGTGTCATAGTTTCCAATTCAAGTGGCCTGGGAAGTCTCATCCTTCACAGGGCCCTGGGCACACTGTCACTGTCATTGTGCGACCCCACTGTCACCACCCCAGAGCTGGAGGTCCTCATTCTTCCCCTTCACATGCCTTCAGCCCTGCTCGGTCCTCATGCATGAGAAATCTGGCTAATGTGTTACCTCGAGCCAGTGAAAGTTCTTGTTCCCAAAAGAGCAGCAACAGGAAAGCCGCGGGCACCACCTGCCCAAAGGGATATTCTTGTTTTTCAGGGTGGTTTGGTATTCGCAAGGATTTCTGCCAGTTTCTTCTTGAGATCTTCCCCTTTTTGAGAGAATATGGCAACATCTCATATGACCTCCACCACGAGGATAATGAGGAGACAGAAGAGACCCCTGTTCCAGAACCTCCTAAAATCGCTCCCATGTTTCGCAAGAAGGCCAGGGTGGTTATCACCCAGAGCCCTGGGAAGTATGTCCTCCCGCCTCCAAAACTAAACATTGAAATGCCGGACTAAAGGGCACTGGTGGACCAAGCACAGGTGCCTGGGACGCACGCCCTTCCTGTTTCCTCTGCACCTGCTTTATCCCAGACCAGAACGGAGCTGGGCCTCCAGGGCCGACCAACCCTCTCCCATGCCGTTTGCATTCAGCGCTGACCAGCTGCCCGCCACGGAAGTACACAGGCGGCTGGCGCTTGGTGGTGTGTGCAGAGAGAGATGCCAGGGGCCAGGGCATGTGAGAGAACGGGAAACCCCATGGCTCCAGGGCAGGTACCTGCTGTGTGCTACCCAGTCAGCCATAGCAGCTCAGAGGCTGCAGAAGAAGCCTCTGCCAGCGGGGCGGCTTTCCCAAGTGCTCAAATCCTGATCAAAAGTGTGGTTGGAAGATGTGTTCTCCAGGGTGCTACGCCCTACTCCAGCTCTGAGCTGTCCTGCTGCCCGCAGCCAATGGGGACTGGAACTAGACCTGAGCACACTTGGTGTGCAGACCGAGCACAGCCATGCATCCCCTGCCCCTCTGCAGGGGTTTTCCTCAGAGCGTGATGGGCGCAGGTGTTCGTGGCCTCATCCCTGAGCCCTTCCCTGTGGAGTGGCTGACTCCATGCCTGTATAGTATTTATACAAATATTTTAGCGTTGTAACATACGACATCAAATCCTGGTTCTGTACAGCGTACTCTGGTAAAAGTATTTTTTTACAAGCTTGCCCCGAGACAGACGTGTTCTGTACAGACACAGGCATGGGTGGCATTTCTGCCTGGCCCCAGAGGAGTGACGACCCTCATAGAACATGGCCATTTGTGCCCTGGCATTACTTCTGGACCTTAGTGGCTGCTCCTTCCAGCACAGGCATGTGAGAAGTGCTACGTGCTCCCCTAAACCATGGTGCAGCAGCCAGTGGAATCCTAGGAAATGCTGCATGAGACCGGGGCACCGGAAAAGGCACAGAGAATAGAGAGCCCAGAGGAGCAGCCTGACCACAGCACGGAGAGTGTGGGCACTGGGCCAGTGCTGGCCTTGTGGCCATGGTATGCCGGGCTGCACCGCTGCAGCTCACGTCCGGGTCCTGCAAGTGCAATAGCCTTTGCTGTAGAATCAGTGGGTCATTTTCCAGAGGATCAAGAGGAGCAATGACCTTCTGATGCCAATGGCCAAGGCAGGCTTTCGAGTGACCAGCTGCTCAATGGCCTCAGTTGGAAAGAAGTGACATCCACCTCCTCCCTGCCCCTTCCCCTGGCAGAGGCCTCCAGCATCATTGGTCTGTTTCAGGGGAAAGGGGGGTGAATGTTGCAGCACTTCCTGCTCAGTGTGTAAAAACTGTAGCTAAGTCCACTATTTTTGCTGCCTGTAGTTGTCTAATAAATGAATTCCTCATTTTATGTGTGCACAGTGTGTGGCTTGCTTTGCAGGTGCCTGGGTAAACTGACGAGTTCCCAGCCATCCCCGAGGTCAGTCTGCAGCCACCTCAGGTGGCCGAGGCTACTGTCCTTCACAAGGGAGAGCACCAAGGGCTCACAGAGGGACAGGGCTTACCATTCACATCCTACAGGTGGCTGGGTGACAGACACCACTCTGCCCTCATCTTAGCGGGGGAGGCTTTCTGCACTGGCCCTTGCATTTCAGAGCAAACCCACAGCTGAAAGCACCTCTGTAGAGGTCTTGTGAACAGCTGAGGATCACTTAGCCCCCAGACACTCCGTGCTTCTCTCTGGCTTGGGATCTTAACCCGGGGAGGGGGGGCCTCTGCTTATACATGAGGCTTCTGGTGGTGAAGGTTTCCTATGGGGAGCTATAGCCCACAGATGGGTGTTTTATTGAGCTCAGTAGGTTTGAGACTTTCCTCGATAGGTACCCACGGTGGCTGTGACATTGCCACCAGGGGCCTTGCTCCTCCTGTATGTCCCATTTACCCCACAATCCCAGGACACAGGTGCCTATGATCTTCCCCCTGTCAGATAGTGGAGGCCCAGAGAGGTAAAGGAAGGAGCCCCGATTATAACCTGTGAAATGCCTGAGGGGAGATGACAGTGTTGGCTGTCTGCCTGCAGCTCTCCAGCCCTTGTCCACTGTACCTGAGGCCTCAGACCCTGTGGACAGGATGTTCCAGCTGTGGAAGGCTTTCAGGCTCATGGAAATGCCTGGAAGTCTTGTGGCTCAATGCCCGTAAGGGAGTGCCAGGAGCCAAGGACAGATGGCCCTACCTATAGATTCCATGGGATGGGCGAGGTGCATTGGATGCCTGTCTCCTGATTGATGCCATTTCCCAGTGGCACGCAGCAGAGGGAAGATCAGACAGATCAGTAGCTGGGCACAGGCCAGCTTGTGCTTTCTACTCTTGGAGAATGAGGTGCTTGAGGATGCACTGGCCAGATGCACCAGCATCATCCAGAAAACCCCGGTGAGTTTGAGGCGGTCTCTGCTTGGTGAGCTGCAGGTGCAGGCTGAGGTGTGGCAGGCTAAAAGATGCCTTCTCTTCCCTGGCAAGCTGTGCTGCCCTTACCTCACTGACTCATACATCCCCAAGACTGTCCTTGGCCTGCCTCTGCCCGAGCGCGTGGCCATGGTAGTGGGAATTTTGAGCACCAAGAATGTCATGGGGATGGTTGGCTATGGTGTCCCACCTCAGGTTCCAGCCTAGAGTGGGCTGTAGGTTGAAGACGTCAACCTTGCCCAGGGACATGTGGAGATTGGTTCTGATGAGGAACCCTCATCTTTCTTGGCCAACATTTGCTGGGACTCCACAGGATTCCGAAAATGAGGAAGCATTTCATGGTGTGGGTCAAAGGCTGGGTAGGCTACCTTTGATGCTAATGGGTTCCTGTGGAGATGACTTTATGTGAGCCAGAGTGGTGACAGGCTGACAGCTTGTCTGGCTGGGCCTTTTTGATATCCAACACAGGATGAGTTGTGAAGTCATCACTCAGCAAGACAAGTATCTGTGCTGTTTTGGGGCACCATGAACCAGGGGTGCTACTGGCCACATACACTCATGGGTATGTGAGTACAGGAGACGCCCACGTTGAGGGTGGCTGGATGGGAGGAGCAGAACCTGAGAGGCTGGGACCCTCGGTTCCTAAGGCTACTTTGTCCTCCAGAATCTAGAACACCCATGACATACCCACAGGCCCACCTGCTCCAGCAGAAGATGACCCTCTTGAGCAGGTGCTTCCTGTGCTCAGATGTACAGGTGACAGGAGCACAGCTGGCCATCATGCTACTGCTTGGAGAAATGGCCCTGGAGCCTGTCACCTCAGAGCCTGTCTTGGAAGGCCAGGATTTGACCATGACGTTCTGGCACATGGTAAAGCCAACCTCCTTTCTCAGCCCACTCCAAGAAGACTGTGCAGTTTGCATCTGCTCAGTGGATGATGGCGCACCCTGCGTAACGGTGAGTGAGAGACAGCTTTTTAATCCAGGAGACTCGATCAGATCTGTTGCTTCAGAGCCTTAGATACAGATTGGATGGAGAACCTCTCCTTCCAGCTAAAGCACCAAGGCCCCAGCAAAATGTGAGGGACACAGGCACACACACCCCCTTCCTCACAGTATTTTCCATCCTGGAAAGGCCAGCTGTGCTGTGGCCAGGTAAAGGGGGTCAAGCCTCATAGCAGAAGTCCCAGGGTGACCTCTGGCAGGGTTCAGAGCCTTTCTGGTACCTGTTTCCCTTGGGTTGGTGGTTACATAACTATGAGTCATGACTAAGAAACTGCTAAGACTCTCTACCTGTCTGGAGTGCATAAGATCACAGGTGGTATTAGGTCACCATGAGGACAGGTCCCAGTAGTCAGGGACTCATGTCATCTACTGGGTCATCCTATAATGCAGGTACTTGTATGGACCCTGTCCTGCAGTCATAGTGGATCTGTGACACACTAAAAGCATTGGAGGTGACTTGCATGCATGTGAGTGTAACTTGGTCCTGAGTGCCAGGCAAGCAAGAGCCATTGAAGGCTGACTCACCATTCTGAGGCCAGCGTGTGGGACACGGCATTGTAAAGGCTCCAAGCTTCCTACACTCGCTTTCTCGCCAGGCAATCCCCTTGGCCCTGGCCTTGTACATTCATCTCCCAGCCTGCTATGTGTATCCTTTCCTCAGCGAGGAAATGCTTGTCCTCCACAGGGCAGACTTGAGAATTTGAAAGCAAATGTGCCTCTCCTTTTAAGGACTGTGACCTTTTCCACAGTCTTCCGGTACCACTCGCTTCTGCACAGGGTATAGTTGGTCAGTTGTTGTAGTCCACTCTTGGGACTCGGGTTCCCCTTCCTTCTAAACTGTGAATCTTAATCATGGTTATACTGTGATCCCTGCTTTTAAAAAGACTCCCCTCACCTCCTTGAGAGGATGAGGAGAAAAATGGGCAATGAGTCCTCTCTTAGACAGGTGGGGTGCTAGCTGCAAGGATACATGATAGCTGCCAATAGGTCCCTCGTGTGCCAGGACTATGCAGGACGCCTAGTGTAAATGCAGCATTTGGACTAAACATGTACTACTCTACAAAAATAGTCAGAAAGGCCAAGTGCGGCCTTCCCTCCTCCCTACCCCAGGGGAATGCTTGCTTGTGTGGTAGAAACTTGAGCACCACAGCATTCCCTGGCATAAAGCAAATATTCCAGCAGCTTATCAGTTGAATGAAATGCCCCAAATGTCCCGTCTGCCTTCTTATGAATACCATTTTTGTAAAACCAGGCAGGAGGTTGAAATCAAGGCAAATTCGAGAGTAATTTGAAAGTACTTGAGCCATGGTAACATAAGGGCATGTTCCAGAGGGGTGAATCATAGCCCCTTACAAAAGGCAACTGCCATGGGGATTGCACAAGAGATTTTGAAACAATAATTTTAGCAAAAGTGACTAACAGCAAAATCACCTTGGTGTAGGATTGAGCAGATAGTCACTGGGCAGATGTTCTTGCAAAATAATGCAGTACGACCTCAAAATATGGTGAGTCTTTCTATTCAAAAACACATTGCCATTGTCTCCCTCAAACAAATCTCCCTTGCTTCTAACACAGTTACCCCATTATTCTGGTCATTTTCTGAAGTAGTCGTGTGTGTCCTCTTTCATCAGTGTCTTCAGTTGTGCCCCTTCTGTCTGCCTTGATACCCCGAATCCACTGAAAAGGTTTACTTTTCATGGTGATTTTGACTTTTGGGGAGAGCCAGAAGTCCCATGGTGTCGGGACCAGTGAGGAAGGTGGGTGAGGACACACCATAAAGTTTCCTGGGCCTGCCTCTCCCTTGGATAGCACTGGGCAGCAGAATCCCGCCGCCCCCATTTCACCACACAGAAACACAGGAGCCAGAGGCCACGTGAAGACACAGCAAGAAGGTGGCAGATCAGCTGGGCCAGAAACACCTTTCTAATCTCATTAGATAGTAAGGTAGTGAAGCACCAGGCTCACAAAATCCAAAACAACCAGAATAACTTAGGGAGATCTTATCTCAGTATTTAGATAAGAACTGAGAATGTAATTTAGTAATCAGGTGCCTGCCTAGTATGCAGGAGAACCTGGAATCCACCCCCAGAGTTACAGGGGAGAAAAAGGTGACCCTCAGCAAATGAAAAATGGAGGTCTCATCAGAGACAGAGTATTTTCCTGAAGTCTTCTGTACTAATTCCCAGAAAAGTGAGAGCGATATGGAGATGCCCACAGGATACATTCTCTTAGGAGACCAAGTCTGATATCCATCACCCTGAAGATACATATCACAGGAGAGATAAAAAGTACCTTGAAATGAGCAAAAACACACATACACATTTTATTTTGCCGTGCCGCTCAGTGCGTAGAGCTCTTGCCTAGAGTGCGTGAAGCCCTAGGGTTAATTCTCAGCACTGAAAAAGGAAAAAAAGCACTCAGAAATGTAGAACTGTACGGACTACAGTAAAAAGAAAATGGTTTCAGACAGTAACCTAGTCTTAACATTTAGGAACTAGAGCAAGAGCAACGCAGCCCCAAATAAGCATGAAGAAGGGAAGAACAATAAAACCTAGGGTGAAAAGAATGAAATAGAGAACGAAAATGAGTAGTGAAAATTGATTCTAGGAAAAGCTACTATTTTTGAAAAATCAGTGAATTTGACACATTTCTGCTAGAATAAGCATTACAAAAGAGAAGCTCAAAATTACGAAAATCATTCTGAAAACCTATACAGTATGTGATTGCAGGCTTGTCATTGTGCAGAAGGTAACATAGATAAAAATGATTGACTGAGAGTTATTCATGAGAGGGGAAATGAAGAAAGGTAGGCAAGGGCAGGGGAATGGTGTAGGGCAGTGAATCTCTTCTCACTGGCACTGTGGATTGCTCAACTTAGGCACATGTCAAAACCTGCTGGTCTTGAAATGCAGTATGGGCTGTTCCAAACCTTGAAAATGATAGC